GACCCTATGCCTCCCTTTCCTTTCGGGGAATGGGAAATCAGGCCTTGCTCCAGACGCTGCAGTTCACGCGGATGGCGCGATATTCAGGGACTACCATGCGCAGCAGCTGGGCTGGATGGGACTGTGCAACTCCAGCTGAAACTCCTTCCCCGGCCCCTTCATTTGTACGTTTTCGCACTGGGCTTCACGTCAGGATTGGCTCTGTTTGTCTGGATGATTCTGGATTTGCTGCGATGCACTTTGATTCCGTAAGCCGTAAGTGTCTGGGGTGGCTCTCCCTGTCAGGATGATTCTTCTGCGATCCGTCTTGCTTCGGGGAAAGCTCCATCCATTGTCAAGTGTGACAAGGTTCCTCCCTAATGTACTTAGGTACAGTCGGCTTTGCGAGAACGGCACGGCAAACAGTGCGCTGTGGCCCCTGAGCAGCATGTTCCTTCAACACGATCCGAGCATGCAGAGCTCCAGTATGCTCCAGTAGTGCTGAAATAAACAGGCTCCAAGGCCGGGCAACCACGAGCGAAAGGCTCATCATCACATCATTGTTGACACCGTCCCAGGTCACAACATGATCGTCACCTTTACCGCCTCCAGGATCATGATCACCATTCCAACTCAGGTTCAATGCATGGCCAGCTGCAAAGGCTGTGGTGCAGTCTGCCAAGAAAGAGGTCGGGTTTCTCCAGAGTTTGGTCGCGTTCGGGGGGGAGAGGCGTAGGGCCTTGGGAACAGTTCTTGTCTCTGCCAGTTTGGGGGTCAGGCGGATCGCCGAGTTTTTGAGTTGTGCAGATATGGGAGATTGCGTTGAGGTGTCTTCCAGCACATGGAGTCTCCGTTCGGGCCACCGAATGGAATTCCACCTCGCTGACACAAACAAAGCTCTGATGTTTTGTCGACTTCAATGGTCAATCACCAGCGTTACTGTGACGATTTTGTTTCTTTTTGTCAGGTGGTCTTCTTGGTGGGGCATCCAGTCCGTCCCATCTGAAAGGACGGTCGCAAGCCTCATCCCTGTGAGGTGCTGAGGAAGGCTCTCGCCACGAAGCAGCGACTTGCCTAAAGATTTGCATTCTCCGTAGTTCTACAGATTTTGCTGGTGGTTTGATGGGTTGGGCCTTGATGTTGAAAGACGTATGTAGGGGTTCGTAAGGGTGGAGCTTGGGAAACGAGGAGCTTCGACCGCAGCTGGTTCTCTGGAGACGCGATGTTGCGGGCAATTGCAGAGATCTGCAGTTCGGCATCATGACTGATCTGCAGCATTAGGGCTCGATTGTAAGCTGCCTACGACCGTCTCAAAAGCACACCACCTCGCCAAAAAAGTCAAATCTAGAGCAAAGAACAGTTGCTGCAAGATTAAACGGAACTGAAGGAAACATACAGAACGGATGCCAGCCAGCAAGGAGAGAAGCGGCGAGACACACCCTCGGAAAGAGCGAACGAACGGACAAAAACTAAAAAGAAAAGCGATCGAATGAACGCAGCAAATCAAGGTAGACACAAGAAACTGGAAAGGAATAAAGACATAAGTAATTGTAGACGCTTCGCGTCGTCCGCCTCGTCCCGGCCGCAAGAGAGGAGGGCCGACGACTTCAACCCCGAAGCCGTCATTTAATTAGGGCCTTCACAATCGGCCTGCAGAAAACAACAAGGGGCGGAGGGAGGAGGGGGGAGGGGGCAAGGAGGGCAGGGGGAGGGGGAAAGGGGGTGGAGCTATGGTTATCACTCGGACTGCGACGATGACTATGACTATGGGTATGGTTGTGATTAGGATGATTGCCATGACGTTACCTACCGATACTCTTTACGACTACGCATTAATATGGGAGTAGTTCTAACCCACACCTTTTCACAGCAGGCTGACAATTCAGTTTGATATTTCGATGCTGGTTGAAGACTTTCCTCAGAACCGGCACCTCACAAGCATGCGCAAGGGCGATTAACAGTGTGACTGACGCTCATGATGCTGGCCCCTGTCCCCTGAGCGGTAAACTCTCAGTGGTGACTGGTGCCAAAGACAGGTTTGGGGGCTGGAGGGGTAACCAAATGGAGCGGCCGGGGAGCGAGGTGGGCGCAGCGCCAGCATTACGACCTTCACTTTGTGTCATCACTTGGCTTATCAAGGCTCCAGTAAGCTTCAGTGTGAGAATTATCATGGCTTGAGCAAGCTTCAGTGTGAGAATGTGTTGGGCCACACAAGATCTCGCGAGGGCGAAGCGGAAGAGCATTGTTGAGTTGAGGGTTGCAGCCACAATCAAGAACAGCTCCGTTTGACTGTGACGGTTACTGGTACTATTTCTGGAGTCATTTTGCTTGATCCTACGCTTGCTTGATGTTGTTCTGTAATATGCTTTCTTATGTTGATCCTAGTGCGTTGAGTTGATCCCTCACCCAGGCAGTGATGGGAGACAGAAGTCATGAAGCTTTGGGGAGCGGCTGTGTAGTCCTGTCGAAAAGCTGTGGTGTGCGTTCATCCCCTTCTGTTGGAGCTCTGATCGGAAGCTGCCTTCGGATGCACCTGAAATTGCTCATGCTTGGGCTCCTACAAGTGCATGAGCCAAAGAGAGCCAGACATCAAGATTCCACCAGCCGCTGTCAAGGAACATACTGGTCTCTGACACTGGTGCAGAACTGGATTCGCTCCAGGCGCCCACGATCGAAGTCGTCCATTAAAAGACATAGCGTTGGCTTGATTGAGTTCATGCAGACCTGCATGCCATGTAAGTCGCTGGTGCTCCCAAAGGCACTGCTGGGTCCAGTTATTAGGATGCAATCCAAGTTTAAAGGCTAAGTCGCAGATCCTTATGGTTGCAGCAGTGTGCGCTGATGGCAAGTTGGGCTTTTGCGGACTCTGCAGTTCCACATTCGGGCAATGAATCTAGAAGTCAAACGTGCGAATGGCCAAGTTATCGTGCTGGATGCTCAGCTTCTCACCATCCGGGCACGGTACGTCAGCAGCATGTCCTTTTTGTTGCAGGGGTTGGTGACAAAGCTGAAAGACGCAAGCTACGAAGTCTGCCTACTGGGCATCTACGCGGATCCGCAGGCCGCATGCTTGCAACTTCTGTTTTAAATTTCAACGGGTTTGGAGAGGGAACTCTGAAGCGAATCGGCCCGAAGGTGGCTACAGTACAGGCAAAGCTGAAGCCTTTCGTCCGGGCACGGCGCCTGGAAATATTTCTTTTGGAAGAAATTGGCCAACAACCGGTGCAGACAGAATTTGTTCCTCCGAAACGCCAAACGCCAGAGTCCGAAACCTAAAACGCCAGGAACCCTAAACCCCGACTGCCAGGTTCCTAAACCCAACACGCCAGAAGCTTTGACTGAGGTGTCTTGGAGTCTTCGCGTTGCGTTTTTTGGGGTATCCCGTTGTGTCTTCTGAGGGAGGTAGCCTGGATTCTTAGGGTTGCGTCTGCTGAGGGAGGCTCGACGGACCAAAACGCCACACGGCGCAATAATTTTTCATTCGGCCAAAGCACAACCCAAAGTTGCCAAATTCCTCAAATCCTCAAAAAAAATCGTTGAAAAGTTTTCTCTGCTGGGGCGCCGCCGCAAGCCTTTTGTCGCGGATTTGTGGACTGCAATGTCTTGAAGACCTTTCAATCCTCCTGACAGGCCTGAGTGAAGCATGCCTTCATGCTTGGAGCGTCTGACTTTGGGCTTATGGAGTTTTTGTGCCTTGAGAAGCTGGAAGGCCATACTGACCCGTGGCATTGCCCGAGAGATCGAAGAAGGAAAGCGTTACAACAGGAGCTCAACTGGCGCGCTGAAGACCGATGCTTCGTGTGTTATCTGGGTGCCTTTCGGGGAGCTGTGGATACCTTCTCGGGCCAAAGAAGCGGGGTCTAGCACGCATGGCTGTAGTGAGCTCCAGGGTCTCTCGGCTTGGAGCCTTGTTGCAGGAGCATTGAAAAGCTTCGTGCCACCTTCGACAACTTCAGTGCTGCCATCTCCATGGTGGACGGCGCTTTCAAGAGCCTTTGCTGCCATCCTCCACGCTCATTGCTTGCGTACCGCTGTCATCGGCCAAGGATTGTTCACAACCCCCAGGGCGGTGAGCCCTCTGCGACCTTCGAGGGCCAAGGCGGTGCGCTGCCGCCGGCGCTGGCGGAAAAGCTTGAGGCTTGGCCCGGTCGGCGTCCTCAACCTCGCGGTCTCTCTCTCTCTCTCTCTCTCTCTCTCTCTCTCTCTCTCGGGGCTTTTCGGAATGGGTACCTACGCAAGCGGAGCAGTTGCCCAGAGACTCTGTGTCAAATCTTGACAAGTAGCTTGCTTAATTATGGGAAGTGGCTTCTCAAGAGCTCCCCGGCTCCCTGAATCTATGCCAATCTACGCGTGCACGGAACCGGTTGATGCTGGTACGCGCTGAAACACTTCAACTGCCTGAGCTTCCATCACAGTTCCGCTGAAACATTTCAAAAGCCTGAGCTTCCATCACAGTTCTCCCTGTCGCAGGCTTTGGTGCGATCGATTTAAGCTTGTGCTGTGTGCACGGGCAGAGCAACAGCGTGCCGAGCTGCATGAAAACGGTGTGACAAGTTTCAGTGGCCGCAGCGGTTTGGAATGTATGGCTGAGCTTGGGAAAGGTGGAGACGGGATGGATCGGATAGACACACCCAGCACAGCCAGTCAGCAGAGAGAATGATGGTTGAAAAGTTTAGTCCAGCATAATATATAATTGGATTTCGACGCATGCCTTCTGCTACGAGAATTCGATCGTGAGCTTCTCGGATGTTGGTTCAGAAGCAACTTGAAGTCCGAAGTCCACTGTATCTACTGTGCTTGCAGAATGCCACAGAGCTTGCATCGCAGAAGTGGACGGTGAATTTACGACAGAACTGCAGAATCGCTTTGTGGCCACTTCAAGATCCATAAGGCATTCACTCAGACGCAGGTGTGTGCAATACCCCGGGCTGTTGTCAGACCCGGTGATATCCGGTGAAGCTCCGGAAGCTAATTATTGCTGGAACATTCGTGCATGCAAGCCTCGTTGCCCTCTGGAGCAGGCGACGTTTACATTTTCGTTGAGGGCGGTGAGGATGAAGCCTGGATTGCCCGCAAGGCACGCCGGATGTTGTGGGCAAGCGGGTTTCAGCTGTCTTGGCGCCTTCAGGACTTTTGCGGGTGGTTGTTGAGAGTGCTACTATGCGGCCACGATTTCCTGTCTCGGAGGTTGGGCGAGCGGCAGGTTTTGGTTGCTGCCGAGGGCAGTTGGCGGTAAGTTTTGGCGAATTGTGTCGTTGCGCTGTGTCCTTGCAGGGTTCATATGGATTCACGAATCTATGTCCTTTTCCGAAACAGAAGCGAGACAGGCCAGGCGACTTGCACACTCTTGTTGCCTTCGGCCGAATTATAAGCAAGGGTCTTACAGCAGCCTCTTGTCGCGTTTGCCAGAAAGTGTGCTCAGAGGCGGCTGAACGAGGGGCAGACCTGGCGGCTTGGCCATGTTGGACTCTTCGCAGCTTCGGCTCTGGGGTCTTCGTTGGGTATTTCTGAGGGAGTCTGGTATGAAGCTGCGCAAGCCATCGCGATCCAGCACCGAAGGATCTCATTCCTAATTTCGTCAGACGGATGCCGGGGCAAAGCCATGTCGACATCTCTGAGCAAGCACGGTTTGGAGGTTTGGGTCCGGGTCGCAAAAGTGCAGTTGCCGCTGTCGTAGTTGTTAGTGGCGTTGGCATTGCTGCTGCTGCTGCTGCTGCTGCCTCTGCTGCTGCTAGTGGGGATCGGGGTGGTAGAGGCGAGGGGCGTGGGGGTGTTGTCGGGGTGACAGGGTTTGGGGTAATGGCCGGGCTGACCACGCCTTTGATTTGCTATGCATTCAGCCTTCTTAGGTGCCCATCAAGCGAAGCGGTGGGCAACCCAGCTTTGCTTGAAAGTGCAGCGCATACAGATCAGCACTTGCATCGGTAGAGAGCTGCTACAGTCTCTGAACACGCAGCAGCAGCAGCAGCAGCAACCCAGCCCTGGTTTTGCCTTGCCATCTGCATAATCTTGCTCTCGAGGCGGTGCCAGTGCAGGGCTGCACGATTTCCCCGAGGAGGCGCTGCAACGCCCTCCGTTCGTGGGCGAGGCAGGAGGGATCCAACGGTCGAAGGACAAAGACGGCACGGGAATTCTATGCTTGGCTTGCAATGCATGCGGTGTGGTATGGGCCAACCGCTTTGGGCGAAGTCTTTGATGATGGACTATAGTGTCGTGATACGATGCTAGATCGATCCGGTGCTGGCACTGCTTTGCGCGCCAAAATCTCACAGTTTGACGACGACATGGCAAGTCAGAGATGTCAAGGTGCTACAGCCAGAAACGAGACCCTTAAAAGCCAAGCTGATTTCGCTCGGGGCTACTACCTACGAAGTACCGACCGATGCCATCTGCCGATGCTTGAAGATGAGACTGAACTGTGCGAGCCATGCTTCGCCCAAGACCGCTGGCAAACTACTGGTGCAGGACCCTAGAAGCTTCGACATGAAGTACTGCAGACCAGCTTCTTAAGTCTGCCGTCCACCTCATCTGCGCAAAATTGTGACGTGTTTGAAGTCCTGTTGATTCACTGGTTCTCGCTTTATTGGGCTGTGAGGCCTGCTGGGCGCTCCTGGCCGACAGCACCGCGTGGACCTTAGCCGGAGGGGGCTGCAGCGGCTCAGGGAATGCTTCCTTCAAACTTCCCTCACTGGGCACCGGGCAGGTCTGTTGGCGTGTGTCGTCAGTCGGCTTTGCAGCCGGAGTGTACAGAGAGCCTGGGAAAGCTTTGCGAGCCAAGACAGTCCATGATGGCAAACACTCCTACATCCCAAATGTAAGACGGAACTGTCATCCGAGAGTCCTCCATGCTGCCCCGCTGCAGCTTGGAGAGGCACCTGTCGCTGCTGCCTCTGCTGCAGCATCAGCTGCCGTCGCTGGCGCATTGGCGCTTGGACCGAAACTCTCCAGAGTAGCGTAGGTTCTTTTTCTTTGCTCCTCACGCAAGTGGATGCCTCCAGCGGTGTCATCATCTTCAGTGGCCGGCTCTCCTGGAAATCCAGCAGGGCTCATGTTGCAAGGCACTTCGGTAGAATTGTGTATTATATAGGGAGTTTGCGAACAAGCTGCAAGCATAAGCCTAGCTGCCCTGGTGATGCCCTGGAGTGGCCCCACGGTTGAGGATGACCATGATGAAAGTTTAGGCAATGTACGTGCTACCGCTGGCTGCTTTGGGGATGTGTGCGTCGACGGCGTCTGTAGAATCAGCACAGCCTTCCGAAACTTCGCGGTGTGCACCCACCCATGAGTTTTCCCTCACGGCACAACTGTTGAGGCGAAGCGATGCCGCGAGAAGCAGCCTGCGGAGGTGGGTGCTTCGCAGCGGTCTACTTATCGAGTAAATCGACAACCGACGACTGCTACAAAGCGCACGGTATGCTATTCTGGCAAGCATTAGGGCTTGACATACCGTGATGACGTCCGGTTGTTGGCCATGACTGCCGAGTCTGGGGAAGGCTTCTAGCTCGTATGGTAATTAGTAATTAGTTTTTGAGCGCAGTTTCAGGTCATAGCATGACTGCTTTGTTTTTGTCAAAGGGCATGTCGGGGTAGGCATGAGTACGAAACCCAAGCCATGTTGTCCACTCCCAGCTGTCATGTTAGTACTTCTGTCCACAGAGAAATAAGATGGAGCAAGGGAAATGAAAAGGTGTTGAGATTCCATCCACTTTGACATCAGGAGTATGTTTCCCGCATCCTCGAGTGTACACGCACGGAATTGGATAGCGCAGTCGCTTCCAACCATCATCACTTGGTTGGGGACGTCATCTGCGTGCTAGCCGCAAGCCGACCTAGCCCCCTCGCTTCAAGAAGCACACTCCGATGGTACAGCGTGTAATTCGATTATGGAATATTTCGTGATTGGTTGGACTTTCTGCAAAACCTGGCATCCTTCACCAGACTGAAAAACCGTGCGTCTTGACTGAAACCCATTTGCAGAGAACAATGCCCAGGGGAGTCCCAGCCGCTTGCAGCGCACTTCCGATTCCGAACCTCCGTGCTCGAAGGCACCAGCCGCTAATCACGTTCTGGACTGCTTTGTGGGTTTTTGAGTAGCTTTACGCGAGTGAGTCCCTTCTCTTTCGGAAGCTTGCCATGCTTGTGAGACAGTCAGATCTCGATCGGAAGCATGCAATTCCGGATAATGCTTTCATGTCTGCCACTCTTACACAGTTGTGTTAGACTTGCTACACTGAAGATTGCAAGTGGCAAAGAGGGGACCACAACAATCTTGTTGAGGCGGCAAAGTCATAAAGCATTCGGAGCAGCCCAGATGTTGAGATGTAAAGATACTGTAGCTGAGCCGTCAACGCGGCTTCACATCTGTAAGTTGCGACATGTATCGGACCTATTGAGCCTTGGGAGGTTGCCTTGGCAAGCCTCTTCGACACAACGTTCGGAACTCAGAGGGGGTTGAAACTTCGGCGGCTTCGGTCATGCGCGTGGAGCCTTTGAAATAACTTGCGCTGTTATGTCCAGTGCACAAATAGGAGGATTGCCTGGATTCCCTTGCAGTTCCATCGCTTCCACAGTTTGAAGAATGCGAAGTGTTGTTTGCCAGTCTACACTGGATTACCTCCGTTCTGACTGAGCTAGCAAGTCTTTCCAGCCCAACACTTGAAAGTGAGCCTGAAGTCCCGAACCCAACCCACACCCCGCTGTAAGGATCCTCCGGCTATGCACTGAAAGCAACTCGACATCATGGCTACCAGAGATCAACCCCTGAAACGCTTTCAGGACTCCAAGTTGGGCAGCAGCGAGCTGGGTGGGCGACCGGGCAGGCCTTCAACAGTCAAAGTCATGGTGGCCGTTGCAGCCTGCGTCCTGGCCGTTTACTGCTGCTGCTGCTGTTGCTGCTGCTGTTGGTGCCGCTGGTGGCTGCTCGAGGCTGCTGGTGCTGCAGGTGCCGCTGGTGGTGTGGTTGTCGTGGTTGTCGTGGTCGTTCTCGTTGTCGTAGTCGTCGTCGTTGTGGTTGTTGTGGTTGTTGTTGGTCGTGATTGTAGTTGTTGTTGCGGTTGTTGTTGTGGTGGGGGTGGTGTGGGGGTGGGGTGCTCTGCTGTAGCAGTGGCGGCAGTGCCGGTGGTGATTCGCATGGTATTTTTGAAATACCATTGTATGGCATCAGGGTGGCATGCAGAGCCCGGCTTGTTATGGTTTGAGTTTAGGGTCCAGGGTGTGGGGTTTATGCTCTTTTATGGGCGTCGTTCATCATGATTTCGAGGTGCAGTGGGCGCCTCGTGTTCTTGACCTGCGGGACGAGATCCAAGCAATTTCCACCTTTGCTGGAACAACTTGTTGCGAAGTCATTTTTTTGTGCGCGTGGCGACGCAGGTGGCACTGCGCCTGCAACTGCTGAGAAGTCCGAGAAGAAGATCTTCCAGACATCCTCGGCCCGCGTCTCAGACGAAGGTCGCGGACACGGCATATTCCGGGCTGTGTTTCACTCAGGATAATTGCTGACGCGTGCAGGGTCGTTGGGGCAAACTTCGGGCTAAAAATGGCAAACAGGCAATCAAAGCTTGGCCACCTGCCTTTGGATCATCGCTGGTAGGTGGTCAGAACATCAGAGAGATGCAGGCAAGCGAGACATCGAGAGAGCTCCGCATGCTCCGCTAAGAAAGCTGATCCAGAGTCACGAAGGCTTCACTTCACCAGACAAACAGCAATCCTGAACGCGAGCCTTTGACAGCAGAAGGCACCATTGTCCTTCACTCCAGCTGTGTGGACCTCCCCAGGCAGCTGAAGGATGGGTTGCCACAGATTTAGTGTTCAGGATTTGTTTGGGCTGCGGGATTTCGGGTTCAGCATCGTTTTGGGTGCTGCGAGCTTGTTGAAAGGAAGAGCTGAGGATTCCTAGCAAGCACAGCCCCATCCCCAGGCCACCACTCTTTGCACTCCCCCGAAATCACCCAAAGCCTCCCAACGTAACACATAAGTCCTACTTCATATCGGCATCCCCTTGGCTTATCCGGCCCTATTCCAATTTTTGTTGTGTTTTTTGATCGATCAGAACGCGAGAGTCGGCCGCGATCTCTCGACCTCCTGTTTGCTTCTTCTCCCTGTGTCCGGCGGTAGCAAGACTCTGGAGTCCCACATGACTCCGGAAGCGACACTGTAAAGCATCCCGACCACTTCTTCCCCCCATCCGATGCACGTCGCAGTATCATTCATGGCTGAGTGTCCCGACCTTGGAGATGGTGGCTTGGCTGTAGCCATCAAGGGCTTCATCCCTAGGTAGGTCGTTCAAGCCACCACCCTTGCTAGGGATGACTGGCTCAATGCGCGTTCCAGCAGCGCCCTTCGCCGCACGGTGGCCAGGTACGACGAAATTGGCGTCGGTTTTCGGGGACCGGTTGGTGCGATGATGATTATCATTCTAAATTCGTATCAGAGTCGCCTTAACACGTGAAGCTGACGCCATTAGCACGAGGTGGTCTCGTCCTGGGGGTGCTTTAAGTCAAGTCTTGCTAATTCAGGCAGCTTCTCGCCGCTTCCATGGGGTTCCGGGGTGGCGAAGGCACGGAGAGGGACGGGACTTCTTGGGCTGGTGTGTTGTTGCGGACACAATTCCCCCTTGCAGGGTGTGCTTGCTTCGGCTTCGTACCAGGACCCTTTGTTGCGTTGGGACCTGGGATTCAAGCACTCGCAGTTCAGGCCCAAAAAGCCCCGCTGCCGATGTCTCAGATGCCGGTGCCTGTGACCAGCGGCAGCTTCACGTGGGGCGAACCCCCCAGGCCCGTCAACTAGCTCGCTCCGGTTCGCCGGCTCGGTTCTTGAGCTTCGATTCTGGTTGGCGTGACAAGTTCTGGAAGGCCAGATGTTCAGAGCATGCAACAGGTCGATTGTGGGGGCACTCTAGCTTTGATGTCTGTCTTGCTGGCTCAACATGGTCATGGTCATAGTTCACGTGAAATAACAACCTCAGCAGAAGACCGGAACTCCAATCATCGGCCACCCCTGAGCCCCGAAACATCAGCCTTGATGAGCAGGCGAGTCATAGCCACTACTCAGCCTGGAGCCCGGCATGGGTCACGCTGCTTTGGTCTCGAAGCTGTCACTGCATACGGACGCACACCCGCAGCGCTAAAGGGCTGGCCATGCCACACTTCCACTGCTTGTTCGCTTGTAGACCACTCCAGATAGCAACTTCAAGTGGCCCGACCCTCCGAAATTATCCTGGACCGGGACGCTTGTCTATCTCTCCCACGCACGCACGCCCTTGTTGCTTCAAGCGCCGGAGGTGGAACCCACAAGCAGTCGAGCCACGGCATCCTCAAGGCCAGCCACCACGAAGCACGAGTTTTGGTATCATGGCCCTCATGCCATAGCAAGGCGACCAGGGCTCACGGAACGGAGAACAAGACAGGGAACCTGCAGCATCCGCCTTCACGCAAACTGTGCGAGGCAGCAGAGCTTTGTACGATTGTTCGACCACTCAAGCACAAAGCCCGACGGCCTTCGGCCTCACAGATTGATTTGCAGCTCGTTTGTGTAGTCCTGGCAGCCTGACAGGGCTCTTTCGCTCCTCCTCCGAGATCATCATTGGCAGCCTGGGGGACAGCGAGGAAAGGGCACACTGCCAGGACCGCTTTTGCAAAAACATGTCCGCTGTTTTTGCTGTATTGACATACTTACTATGTTCGTGCATGATGCTGGTGTTGTGGAACTTCAAAGACCCTCACAGCAAGGATCCTTCATAGTCATGCTTGCAGCACATAGCTTGAGCAGAAGAGCCGAGGAGCTCCACAGAGGGTAGGGCAGTTTCGGTTTTCGTGGCACTGACTTCTTCGTGCAGATGGCATACGAAACAGGAGAAAGACACACCTGAGAATTGCTGCAACCAAGATCTCGAATACTACTTCATTTTGCTGCAATCGCTCTACTCTACTGTGATTCACTTTCCTGAGAAGTTGCACCAGCCTGCTGCCAAACAGCTCCTTCTTCTACTGTATCAATTTGCGCAGAAACCGCGAGCCAGCTCACCGCTGACCACTCGCAGCCATGCCGGGCTCCCGGCTGATGCGTTAATTGCGATACTAGTACCTGCGAGAGCATGTAGCCCAGCCGACCGCTCACTTGTTGGAACTCTTCTGATGGAGGGCCAAACAGGTGGCACTGGGTGTGAGACGAAGCACCAGCCTCAACCCCTTCCCCAGCCGTAAAGGGTTTGTGATGCATCCAAAACCGGGCTCAAACCACGCGGTGTTGAAGCATAGGCACTCTTCGGTGCAGGGCTTAATTTGCCAGGCGAAGTACTTTGCAGCTGATCAGTGAAGCGACAACGGCCACCTGCGATGCAAAAACCGCTGCACGGATGGCTCCACATCTGCTGAAAACATTGAGCATAAATTTACTAAGAAACCTAGATAGGTAGATAAGACGTGAACAATAAATATTCTGAAATTGTTGTTGAATTCTGTCGATCATTGATAAGCTAGACTATATAGATAGAAAACGTTTAGTTTTATTCGGGCATAGCAAGCATCTATCACTATTACTATGGTCCAGCTACGAACACAAGATTTCCTGCTCTCCTTTCTTCTCCGAGAAGCTTTCTCTTGGTGATTATCGATTCCTTTGTCTTGTTTCCCAATCGGGGATAATGGCTGGGGCCTGTCTCTCCTAGAAAAATACGAGCACATGGTGTCTCGAACGGATGATTTTCGAATTGCCCTTGCTATCTTGGTGTCTTAATTACGGAATAAGAATTCTTTCGTGCGTCTTATTCTGAAGATTGCATTTAACACATGATCTTTCTAAATCCTTCAATTGAGAAGACATCTATGAATTATGACATTTCTTAATCCGAGATATATCAAAAAGCATAAGTTCCGAATCTATTGAACACTACTACGTTTCAATATCTGTGTGTGTGATGGCGGTGTGACTGGATGGGACTTGTCAGTCCTTTTAGTCCGCTTGGCTTGGCCATTCCTGCGAAAAGTGCCCGTTATCTGACTTGAAGGTTCACGGGTATTTGGAGATAGGGTTCCAGATACGTTGCATGGGTTCAAAGTTAGCAATAGCTGTAGTTGCCTGGCTTGCAGCCCTGGCACGAACTACCCACGTCCGGCAATCTCGAACTTCTCAACCGCCGGCATGTCCTGGCTGATGCAAAGGGAACAGGCTTCTTTTGAAAGGCAGCGCTGTAGACACCTGAAGTCTGCGTAAAGTAAGGTGCGACAGACCTGTACTGCAGTAGTCTTGAGCCTACATCCGACTTGTCGGTGACTCACCGGGGTTTCATGGAGAAGGCTTCGAGAGTATACTGTAGACATGCCCCCTTGCTACCGTAGATGTTTCAACAATCAGGAATGATATCCCGTTATGATCCCCCGATACTTACGCAATGAAACCTGAACCACATCAATTATAAATGCCCTGATATTGCCCCAGGGTTCGGTACCTCGGAAAGCTACGGAAGGAAATACAAGTCGCAAGCTTGTTCATCATAATTTTCGGTTTGGGGGTGTATGGTTCAGGATTTGACCAGGACCACCTGGTACTGATAGTGGGTTTGTAGGGAAGATCTAGTGGGCTTTTGGAGTCGTTCTGAATTGTGGGCGTTTCAAGCATAAAAGTTTGTGGTGTAGGGATAAGCGCCATGGCCTCTTGGATTGCTGGCCATGCTTCGGCCGCCAGCAGCCTGGCGAGAATCCGGATTCACGGTTTGGCATTTGGGTACTCGTAAGAGTTGAGGTGTTTTGTTGAGGGTCTAGATGGATAAATGACAAGTGTCAAGATGAAACTGCTCACATCACTGTGGTCGCTGTTGGCTGTAGCCCAGCTATTCAGGCTCAAGGCCTCTGTATTATCTCCAAGGTTTGGCGCCACTTATGCACGTGCTTCGATTTGAATTTGAATTTCTTAGGTTTGGCGATGCCCCTTGTTTGTTTCTCCTAGGTGTGTGTGTGTGTGTGTTGTCGGCATGGCTACTGGTCCCAGCGCTACGTTCCCATGGCAATACAAAGGCATGTGGGATCACAGGCATACATAGGACGGAATCCACAACTTGGTCAGTCTTAGATGCCCCTTACCCTCAACAGCCCGTATAGAAGCCGCACGAAACCCCTCAAAACGCGATGACTCCCCTGCAAAATGCTGTCCTGGCAGAACTACCTTTGGAATCCGTATGCCTCTAATCAAGGCAGAGTTTCAAGGCGACCAAGCAGTGTACCTTGCCATTGGCGCAAAGCAGTTGGGGTTTTGGGTCCAGGGAGCAGCGTCGGGATGGCGGGCTTGCGATGCGGGATTCGTGGCCTTTAGGGATTGAGGAGTTTGGGGGGCAGTTGAGTCGTTGAGAGTTTGGGGTTTAGGTCTAAGCTCTTTCGTTTCCCGCGCATCAGCAGACACAGCAACCCTTAATATCTTTGACCTATTTTTCCCCTCCCCGGTGACCCTTCCAAGAACCAGCTGGCAGACCTCCCTGCACACGTCTTTGCGTTTGGGCAGGTGCGGGCGATCGTGAGAAAATACCCGAGCCTGCGCTTCAGAAGCTGTACGGCTTCGGGAAAGATCGCAGCTCGGCTGCACTTTCAAGTTGTGTTGTTCCCCACATCACTTTGCTGGGGTTATGTGGGGTTTTGTTTTCAGTCTCCCATCCCACCTCCGCCTCCTCTCCTCCTCCCGGCGCCACCGCACCGACACCGCGTCGAACGGAGCACGCGGAGAGCCTCTGGGTTCATATATGCCTTTTGTACCAAGAAGTATGCAATAATTAGGGGGCTCAGCAAGCAGAGCAACTAGGTAATTGGCTATGTGAAGCGTTGGGTTTGGAGTTGTGGCTGTGAAGTTCAGGGGCTTGGCGTTTCGGGTTTAGGGTTTTAGGGGCAACAAACCCATCCTAAACCAAGACCTGAATACCGGTAGGACTCTTAACATCTAGGAAACTCGCCCGCAGTATCATTTATAAAACCTAGACTTTTAAGGGAGGGTCGAAACTCCAAGTCTTCTAAGCTTCTGGGGTTGTGGCATTATACATTTTCGGCCTCGAAAACTCCGCCCTAAAACCCTCAAACCCAAGGCATCTCCTTCAGGCTCAAGGGCACAGTGTAGGTTTAGAGGTGGGGGTGGGGATTAATACGTCTTCATAGGACATGGAAGAACTCGAAGCCTGAACCCGCAGCCGGGCTTACAGGGATAATAGGGCTTAAGAGTCTTGCTCGTAGACTGTACTGTAGGAGGGCGTGACTGGTATTTTTCGTTCCAAAGCCGCCATGCCGATGGCCATTGAGGGACACGGAAATCAACATGTAAGCCGGGAGTCCAGTTCCTACCGTACGACTTCCAGTTCCTGACAGACCAATCTTGCGAGGGTATTTCCGAGTTATTGGACGAAGAAAGCAACGGAGACTGTCTTCGACTTTGCGCAGCGTCTGAAACGGGGCCCGCTACAAGATGAGGTGCCGGATTCTATTGGACATGACCCGATGTCTTCAACGCCGAGCTTCGGATCCAGCTTGACGATCTGAAAGACCGGGTTATCAGAGTGGGCCACGGAACGACAAAAAAGACGCCAAGGAGGCAGCTGCAGAGTCATTTGGCTCGTCCATGGAGATGTGTGAACGAGCCAAGTGCTTGCCTTCCTTTCGAGCGGCTTGGAATGCCGACCGACTCAAAAGCCACAGCACTGGGCAAGGCTGGACACCAAGCAAACGACAAAGGCAAAATGTGAGGAAGCCCTTACTAATTGAATGGGAAGTCAGTCTTTTGGAGCCTTGCATCCCCATACCAGCAGGCAGAGCCCTCTGTAGCTCACTTTTGCCACCTTGGTAGACATCAACAAAGGAACCAACCATGCCCTGCAGGGGGTACTTTGTTTCACGCCGCCGGCCGGTCGTCCAAGACGTCGCACCTCGGCTGAGAATCGCGTGTTTGGATTGATTGGTTGGAGGGTTGTTTGTTCGAGGTTTGGGGATTACGTTGTCATGAACATGTCAAGGGCGAGGTAGATGCTGTCGTGGTTGCGGGCGTCGCCTTTGCTTGTGGCTGTGGGCTTGGTTGTGGCCACACATGGTTTTCGTTGTTTTGGTTCTTGCTGCTGTGATAGCTGTTGCTGTTTTTGCTATTCGTGTTGCTGATGCAGCTGTTGTCACTGTTGCTGTTGCGTTTGCTGTTGTTGTTTTTTGCCGTTACTGTTGTTGCTGCCGTCGTCGTTGTTGTTGTTGTTGGTGGTGGTGGTGGTGGCGGCGGTGGTGGTGGCGGCGGTGGTGGTGGGGGTGGTGGTGGCGGTGGCAGTGGCGGTGGCGGTGGCGGTGTTGGTGGTGCTGGTGCTCATGCTGGTGCTGCTGCTGCTGCTGCTGCTGCTGCTGGTGGCTGCTGGTGGCTGCTGGTGGCTGCTGGTGGCTGCTGGTGGCGGCTGGTGGCGGCTGGTGGGGGTGGTGGTGGTGGTGGTGGTGGTGGTGGCGGCGGTGGTGGTGGTGGCGGCGTTGGTGGTGTTGTTGCTGTTGTTGTTGTTGCTGCTGCTGCTGCTGTTGGTGTTGTTGTTGTTGTTGCTGCTGCTGCTGCTGCTGCTGCTGTTGGTGTTGGTGTTGGTGTTGGTGTTGGTGTTGGTGTTGGTGTT